TGGAGCTCTGCGTCTTGTAACGTGCCGTGAGCAACACTCTATGCCTCCGCCGTTTCTTCTGATGGGCTGCTTTCGATGTTAAATCATCTCCTTCCTCTCTTGGAAACAACAGAGAGGCTTCATGCGGAAGATTCACAAGGTCTTGCACATGCCTTCTTGGGAACAGAGGCCAAGAAAGGAGAAGCTGTGCATAAAACCCGAAGCCCCAGCTAAGTCCGATCCACAACTTTACCTTTCTCTCTACACAATTAAAAAAAAACAGCCTGATAAACCAATTGTTGGAGCTATTAACTAAGTGATGTGGAACTAGGCATCTCAAATCTTGGGATGTCCTGGTGTGAAGTACCTGAAGCCACCTGCTCAACTTTATAGTGGGCAATCTGAGAGCCACAGATAATCCCACGTTCCCTGGGACCCTTATAAATACACGTTTTGCACCGAAACAGTCTTCAGTACAAAAGTCATTTGGGTTCTGGGAAGATGCCTGTCTATCAAAAAGAGAAATTATCTCACAAGGACTCATTTCTACTTAACAAAAGGCTAGTAGCCTCCAAAAGCCGGGGTAGCTACCCCCCGGCTTTATGAGATTTGAAAAATTAATTTTATACTCTGCATGGATCACATCAAATACGGTCGACAAGTTCAATAAGGAATGACATTAATATTCATCCTTCAGCGTAGTGAGCCACACAGAGTTTTCCAAACGGAAAAGAAAGAAAAAAACGGAAAGGGAAATGAATATTCCAACTTATATTTAAAAGGCTGTCATAACGCCACTCTTATCTGGAGGAAGATGAATCCATCAAAGCTATGACTGTTTTCAAATGGCCACTTAACATCCATCCCAGAACGTGCTCCATGCTAAACAAGTATTTATATATCAGCATATATATCGTCAACCGTTAAGCTGGATATATTGTGCCGTTCCCAATGTGTATTTTATTTCATCAAATAGTGAAAGAAAAAATAATAATATAAAAAAACCCCACTACTGTGTTTGTTGTGCAACTAACTATAAATTCGGGAACTAATTTAGCTTCTTTCAACGCCTGCAGGGAAGATGGTCCAAATGAAGTCTATTCACAATTTGGTTCAAGTAACCCCAGAATCATTTAGCTGATGGTTTTAGAAACTTGGGGGCCGCTACTAAGAGATTGATTTAGCAGCAATCCCTAGTTCAGCGATGACCAGAAATCATCATAGCAAAAATTGCCCATGAAATAATTTTCTTATCTTAAATTCCAAAAACATGGCTCACTTAATGAGGCTGTCACAGACTTATTTCTTCATGAAATAACTTATGACTTTTATTTATCGTTTAATAAGACAATAATATCTTAAGGGAAAAGCAAGGTTCTTGGATGCACTTTTCTTTTTTTCCTAAAATAAAACTTATGCCCCCGCTCTGCAGAAATGGACTCTCACTGGATTTTTTTTTTAATTGGTTATTTTTAAATCGACTGTTGTTAGTTTAACACATTAGAGTGAAATTTGCCTGATCCACCTCCACACAGAATGTAGGAGAATTATTTCACTTTAAAAACGGACCTGGTAGCCGAGTAGGGTAGCGCATGCCTAGAATCCCAGCCACTCGGGGTGGGGAGGCTGAGGCAGGAGGATCACAAGTTTGAGGCCAGACTCAGCCACTCAGTGAGACCCCCCCCCCATTTCAAAATAAAATCCAAAGGGCTGGAGATGTAGCTCAGAGGGAAATTGCCCCTGAAAACAACAGGAAAGAGGCAGGAGGAGGGCACAGGAAACACAGGAGCAAGCGAAGGAAAATCTGGAAGAGACAGAAAGAGAGAGGAAATGAGGGAGAAAGGGAAGAAGAGATAGAGGATGAAAGAAAATGTCCCAGCAATGTTTCACGGGAGTGACAACATCACACTTCTCCCAGTTCCCAGGTGAATCCCCAGTACATCCTAGGAGTGAGGGGTTCGAGGGAGTTGTCATGAGTTACACTTTGCTAACTTACAAAGCATCTCGGAAATCACACTTCATTTTACAGAGGTGTCCTGAGGCCCAGAGAGGTGATGCAGCTTGCTGGAGGCTGCACAGCCACTTAAAGGAGACTAACTCAAGCTTTTGCCGTCACGGGGGGTGTGCCGTGTGCACTTTAACAGTAAGTACAGAAGAGGTGGCTGGTGTTTGCAGTCATCCAATTGAGTAGGATGACAGTACGAGAGATCATCCAACTCATCAAACTGATTATTTTTCACTTGACCCTAACTTCACTTTTTCATCCTACTTTGGAGGCAGTTTCTAGAACTTCATTTCTCGCCTCCCACCTATGAAGGAAAGCTGGGGGGGGGATGCAATTTGTGCAGACAGGACCTGCTTCTGAATGCGGCCGAGGATGCTACTGAGTCCTCCGTGGGTCTCCCCCAGAGCTGTAGGACACAGGAAACCAACTGTCAAGAGCCGCAAGCTCCCAATGCCAGGGACTCTGGTCTGTGTTCCTGCGCCCCTGGTCACAGGACATTTTGGGGAGTGTTCAACAGACGCATCATCTCGGAGCTCAGCAGGTGCTGTTCTTGGCGCAGCGCAGATACCATGTACAGTTTGCTGCGGGGATTTGCACACATGCAAACACAGACACGCCATTCATAAAGCTGCAGGGCTTCTCTGTTTCTCTCTTTTATGGCCCTTTGAACTAATTTTGAAGACCGATCCAATCCCCTGGTTTTAAAAGGGTGTCCGTGAAACCCATCTGGCTGCCCCATCTGTCAGGCCAGGGGACCCTAAGCCCACCCCTAGAGCGTTCAATCCCCTTTCCCACAGATTAAACACCACCAGGGAGGTGAGGCCCCCATTTTTATTTTTTAAATGACCAAAAAACATTTCTAGAGTCACAAGGACACACGACACACCTTGCAGATACACCTTCCTGAGCGCGGAGGTCGCCAGCTACACAAACGCGTGACATCCTAAGACCTGAGTTGAAATCTCAAAATCGGTGAGTGGCCCCTAAGGGTACACTCTACAGAAAGTAAAATTTCCTGCAGATCCCCTCCACCCACCCACCCCCCAAAGAAAAAGCAAATAAAAAAAAGATTCAGTCGTTTAGCCAAAAAAAAAAAAAAGAGTAAAACTCAAAATAATAACGCAGCATTGACTAAATGACAGAGATAGAAGTTAAACATTCCGTCAACCACGCAGACACAGGAGGACACGGACTCGCTCTATTTCTGTTATCCTCTTAAAACGTGGCCACATCCTCCATGAGATCATGTGTCCGCACGAGTCAGAAACAAAAAAAAAAACCAAACAACAACAACAACAGGAACAACAACGAGGAACTCGCCCACCATTATTTTAAAACATGGCTAAGACTTCTGATCACTGATCAAAGTCAGCGCCGGATTGGAAGAAGGCAAGAGGCCATTCCTTTTTGGAGAAGATAACAGGACCACCCCCCACCACTGGCCATTATGTCTGATTTCAGTATCAAACCCTTAAAGACACTTACCTTTTTTTTTTTGCCAAAGGAACAGGCTTTTGTGCCAGGGCAGCTCCAGGACTGTGTGGACCCTGGAGGAATGCCCCCCATTCTAGCTTTTCTTCATCTCTCCAGATGTTCACAACCTTCCTGATGAGTTATTTCTTTCCCCCTCCAAACCTCAAGCTCTGAGCGTACCTGCGCCCAAGCCGACGGGCGTCTGTGTGGAGCCCTCTCTCCCTAGCCTTATTCTTCTCAACCCAATCTAATGAGGGCAGCTTCTTTGCAGACGCTTGGCAGCCTGTGTGTATTGTCTGCCAGGAGACGTACTATCCCGTCTGCTCAGGGAAACTGGATTTCCACTCTGGAAACCGAGGGATCCTCTGGCCCCGGGGTGTCAGGCTCCGAGGGGGGGGGAGGTTCTGACGTTGCTGCCTTTCAGGTATGAATGATTTCAAGTTCCCTTTGGTCCACGTCAGCTCTGGCCGCGGGTTCCCGAGTTCTAAGACTTTTATTCCAATCCTATTTTTTTTTTCTTTTGCAACAGCTCAGTTGTTGTTCTACTTTCAACCCAGAAAGAGGAGTGTGATTTATATTTAGGTTAGGGAAATCCTCCGGACAGAAAAATCCCACAAATCCCTCCCAGGTTAGTGACAAACAACTTTTCATTTCGGGAAGGCATTGATCGTCAGATATGCTATGCAAATCTTATTAACGAGGATATGACATTCTGATAGTAATTTCATGATCGGGTCCGATGCATGAATAAGAAATACGGGTTTGATAGATTGCACTGGGGGACACATAAGCGATGGACGAATCTAGATTGGAAGTGATGTTTGCCCTCTTTTAATGACATCACCTCTTAAAGAGGGTACTTTCAAAAGCAGCACTGTGCTGACAGCTCCTTGTGTTCCGATGCTGTCCGATAGAATACAAAAGGAGATGGGCGGTTTATATGAACAAATATTCCTAATAGTCCCTGTTCCCTGCCGGCTGCAAAGTTTCCAAACAGCTTCTGAGTGAAAAACAAGAGAAACTTTTTCTTTTTGTGCATTGCTTAGTGGCACCAGAGAGCGGCAAAATAAACTAAATGCTGGAAATTCTGACACATGCTTCTATTATACAGCTGTGCATGCAAAACCACCTCCTTACATATCTACATCCATCTGACATTTTTTTTTTCTTGGAATGGCCAGAGGTACCGGAAAAAAAAAAGAAAGAAAAGATAAATATCTGCTTGCTCTAAGCATCCCGGACACCTCCAGATCATTTAACCATGCATCTGAATTAAAAACCGAGCCAGACAATTTCTCGACTTCTGCAAGAGCTTTCCGAAAGGTCCCTTGTTTGCTTGTATGATTCAATTACATAAGAGATCTGACAGAAACAGCAAGCTCTAAACAGATTACCCTCTGTCTCACCAGCTTGGTTCCACAAAGTGCAATGGAACAGAAAATCAAAGGCTGTTTGCGAAGTCACATTCTTCACGGGGAGCTACAGGGAGAGAAAGAGGGAGGTGGTGATGGTGGGGGGGGGGGAAATCCACCCTGGTACTTACAGACGGTAAAGTACAAGGTCCCGGTTTCGCCGTGCATGTGAGAGCAAATCAAACCGACCAGTTTTCTGCTCCTACCACACGCGCATCAGCCACGCAGAACAGGCCCCTTATGGATGGCTTAGGCAGCTGGAGAGATAATGGGACCATATTCTCAGCTGGGACTAGAGATGCCGCCGAACGGCTTGCTCCTCTCTCCGCTGTGCATGGCGCTCCGCCAGCATTCATCAAGGAGGACCCAGCTCCGTGGCTGTGTTCCCCAAAGGATCGACGTAATTAGCCCATGAATCAAGGATGTACCCTGGGAGCCCTGCATCCATCTCTGACTGGCTCTCCTCCTCACATCCAGCCTGATTAGGAAGTTGGTTCTGCGATCGAATGTATTCGACCTTTCCAAACTGCACCGAGACTCGCCCAGCTGTTTTTGATAGATTTTCAGGGGAGGGTTTTGCAGAGGAGGGTTCCACTTCCCAACGGGCAATTTCATGTCATTCCTCAACTCCATCTTCTGATGGTCAGACTGGTGGTTGGGTGCCTATCGGAGAGGTCTCCCTACTATCTGCTCTCCCTGGTCCGGGTTTCTCAGCCCTTTCCCAGGGCAGATGCAGGCTGCAGCCATCCCCGTCATCTCCCCTGTGGATGGGATGCAATGTGGACACGGATTTTGTTTTCCAGTTCAGTCTCTGGGGAGGCTGGATCATGCACTAAAGCCGGTCTCTCTGGGGGGGGGGTGCATTTTATATCCTTAAAGATGTGCTTCTATCCTGATGAGCAGAAATCCAAGACAAAGCAGAGGGTCTAGCCTAGTGCTTGGGTCCCCTGTATCCTAAAAGTAGCTTGTGATGAGTATTCGGGTGGTATAACATTAAAACAAAAAATACACATCTTTCTTTACTGCGCCTGTGTGGTACTGCACTCGGAGATTCAAAACTGGCAGCCTGTCGCCCGGCACCGTTGGGCAAGAGACAGACTTTGTAATTTGCAAGGGAATATTTTTAAACTGGGGGGGGGTGGGCGTGGGCGCTGCACTTTAGCAAAATGGTACCCACTCTTGACTTTGCCCAGGCACGCTACCTTTGGGCCCCTGAAGACATTTGTTTATGTAAATTTGACCTTCATTGAGCAAGTCTGGGTGGGTTAGAGATGCAAAACATTCTGTTTCCAAAAAAAAAAAAAAAAAAAGAGGGAGAATCGTCTCACTTGTCAATCATTAAAAAGTGGAAAGAGGCACTCAGGGGATGCTTGGAGGGTCCGCCCCCATGCCCAATAGCTGGATGTTAAAGAGTCAAAGGGACAAGGAGCAAACACATTTAAGGAGTCAGGAATCTGAGTCCTAATCCTCACCTTGCTGCAAGAACATGGGGTCGGTCCTAGGACACTTCACCCTTCTGAGTCTTGGTTTTATTGTTTTGTACAATAAAGGGTCTTGGTCCAGGACTGTGAGGACTCTGGGAACATGACATTCTATCATGGTTGGAGGAGCTTTGAAGCTAGACCTCCATTGCTAGGGTTGGTATACCTCTTACCAGCACCCGAGTACCAAGCACGGGGTATGCAGTTTTGATCGGCCCAAATGTAGGAGTGGGGAGTCTCTGCTACCTTTGGGGTAGTCCCATGATCCAGTGGATATGAAGTGGCATTTGGGAAAAATCGAGGCACTGTCCATTAGAAAGCCCGAATACATTACGTATTTTGTACATTTATTTTCTGCGAGTAAAAGTGGGGAAGAAAACATATGGGCAGAAATCGTACACGGGCTGTGTCTACCTAAGAGACGCATTTCGGCCATGTCTACCTGGATGGATGGATGGATGGATGGATGGATGGATGAAGAGTGAAGTTCTGCTTCTTGGTAGAAGCAAAGAACACTGAGATATTATGAGCAGAGTCGGTATTTTTTTTTTTTTTATTTAAACCCAGGGGTGCTTCACCACGGAGCCACATCCCCGGCCCTTTTTAACTTAGAGACAGGGTCTCGCTAAGTTGCTTAGGGCCTCGCTACGTTGCTGAGGCTGGCTTTGAACTTGCGATCCTCCTGCCTCCGCTTTGGTGTGTCGGGGGTTATAGGCATGTGTCACCAAGCTTGACCGGGCAGAATCCTTTTATATTTAACTTGGATTGTGCCTTCTTACTTTCTTACAGTCTTTCTATCCAAAGATAGAGAAAGGTATCACGGGCTCATTTTTTTTTTTTTTTTTTTTTTTGTGGACATATGTATATGTATCATCGATGTCAAGGTCACCCAAAGCGTCTCAGGATTCTGATGCTAATTTCGAGGAAGTAAAAGGAAACTGGGTCACAACCCTTTTGCCATGATTCTTCAACAAGCAGAGAAGCAGTTCTGCTGAAAGATACCATGATTTAGGACAAGATAGACACAGCCAAACCCTTTGGTGACCTTCTCAAGTCTTCCAAGACAGATACGACAGCGGATAGTGACAATACACAATACGGGGAACGAGGAAACCGTCCCATTAGATTCTTCTACGACTTTATTGAACTTTGGGGTGGTTCTGTGTCGGTGCCACACGTCTTTGGGAGTATTCCTAATTCCGTTTTCTTAGTCTCACTGGGGTCCTGTTGCATTTTGGCGTTAAGTCAGGAGACAACGGGGCACAAATGTCACGTTTGTCATCTTTACCTGGCTCGTTATCGTTGGGACTTCAGACACTGACTTTGCGCAGCCCGTGTGAGGCGCTCGCAAAAATAGGTTAATTAAATAGCAATCGCGCCTCTCCGTCCTATCAGCAAACACACTGCCGAAGCAAATGAAAAGAGGAGCAAATTAAGAATACTAAAGTGTTGACTCAGTGGTGCAGTGGAAAATAAATGGTTTAATTGGTCTTAAGTTCTATTCAATCCCTGTTTGCCGGGTAATTACTTTGATTCATCTCTGATTGTGGTATGCGAGAGGTTCACTTTGACATCGTGGTGGGGTTTACGCGCCGGTTCCGAATGGTAGGTGACAATCACCGACTAGACATTTCTAACTTAGGTTCATTCTTTATACCAGCCCCCCCCCCCCGCCCCGACGTACCATTTAAAATACAAAGTCATTGATAATAAAAACCTAAACCTGGGAAGTGATTTTCTTACAAAGTCATTGATAATAAAAACCTAAACCTGGGAAGTGTTTTTTTTTTTTTTTTAAGGTGATAAGCAACATTCATGTCAAAATAAAAAATACCAAGAAGAGGTGGGGGAAAGATCCACATGATTAGTAACTAGAAATAAAAGAAATCATCTCTGCAAAAACAAGTACTTTGTTGTGTGGCTCCAGATGATGTATCAGAAGCCTAACTGCACACAGAGGTGGTTTTTAGACTTTGCACTGAAAATTGCAAGACACTGTTCCTCTTTGGGACGGTGAGGAGTCTGCAGTTTTAACACTGCTTGTCAAGGCTAATAAGTACCTGGGGAACGGGGCTCCCGAGGTCTCTTTCTGACCATAATACAAGCATCAGCAAGTTAAATAAAGCTCAGAGCCTCAGCAAATCTAGGGGCAAAAAAAAAAAAAACCCCGATAGTTATGGCAACCATTTCCCAACAGGTGGAGGCTTGATCGATATTTTCCAGTGCTTCGGAATCTACAGCAGGATGTTGCCAGATGTGCGTACAACGGCTCCTTCTAGAAACGGGTTACATTTTCCTATTCCTCACGGCCGCTCACCGAGAGTCAGAGTCAAAAAGCTGAGACGGCTGTGACATTTCTCCAGCTGGGAACAAAATTTCGAAAGAAGGCAGTGGTTAAGAAATCGCTACTCGGGGCACCCACCCACCCACCGGAATGACAATCTCTGCAGCCGTGACTCGACTTTCTTCTCTAACCCAAAGCAAGGGAGCCGATAGTGAAATAATCAAGAAGCGGAATGTGGGGGCCATACTGACTTCCAAGAGATAATCAGATCCCTAGAGCAATGACCCGCAGAGACCTAGCTCACAAACAGAAAACCGCCTTCACTGAAGAACAAGTCCAAATGACATCAAGTTGACCCACGAGCTCGGAAAACACCTCCATATGTCTCCATCTTTATCGACCACCAACCACTCAGAAACTTGGCGTTATTAGTTAAACAGGTCGACTGATTTTAGGTGAGTGAGTGTGTGTGTGGGTGGAGAAAGAGGGGGTGATGTTTAGGAGTCGAATTTCCCATTTGATTTTTTTGGGGGAAGGGGAGGATCAGGGTTTGAAGTCAGGGACCCTCGACCACGGAGCCACCTCCCCAGCCCGATTTTGCATTTCACTTAGAGACAGGGTCTCCGGGATCTGCTTAGTGCCTCGCTTTTGCGGAGGCTGGCTTTGAACTTGCCATCCTCCTGCCTCAGCCTCCCCGGTTGCAGGGATTACAGGCATGTTCCACTGTGCCTGGCCCCCACCCCCCCATTTGCTTTTTCGACGTGGAACTGACTGATTATGATGGTGAAAGGACAAAGTAAGTCAATTTTCTTATTCAGGAAGAGAATCAAAACCCTCGGAAGATTCTCTTCTTCTGTTCCGATTATACCACAATTGGCAGTGGGGAGCTGTTGGCCACCAACAATCTACAATGCGTGGGATGGCCCCTGAGCACAGAGAGTCACCTGGTCGGCCATGTCCACAGGACCCTGTTTAAGAAACCCCAACCCAGGAGGAGCATGGGGAGGTGTTGATAGCTCCAATTCCTAATCCGGGTCAGCGGAGATGTAAAACACACACACCACCTATAAACAGGGCTGCTCTTCGATACGGCTTCAGCAGCTACTTTAAACTCTTTGCCTTGGGATGGGCTTTAGACGTTGCGGTGTTCTTTTATAAAAATCACCATGCATTCAGCACAAGGCGCTAGTTCAAAAGCCAAGAATGGACTCTAATCTCACGGGCATACGTATGTGATCCGCGGCACGACACATGAACATCAATCACATCAATGGAGGGACCCGATGGGGCCCTGGCTCGCTGGAAGACGGCGTCCCCAAAACTAAATAGAACAGCAACAGCGGGCTAATGTCCTGCCGGCCTCTGTGGTGACCCCTCCTGCCTCTGATCATCCCAATCAACACATCCTGCAGGCAAACTGAGCTCCGTGCAATTGCAAACCGGTATTTTCTGTCTCTGGGTTAGCACTTCCCATGTTCCCTACCGGGACTCTCATCTTCCTCTTCCAATGCCGTTTCTAAGGGATTCATGGGTTTTCATCAGGAGACCAGTCCTTAGGCTGCTTTTATGGACACATCCGATAAGGACTTACTGAGCACCTACTAAGTTCCTCGTGGTTGAAATGACAAGAGAGAGAGAGAGAGACCTCAGCTCTGCACATCTGCTTCCTTTACGCACTTCGTGCATCTCTTTTGTAGCCCCTCCATCATTCTGTCTCTGGCTCGGAGGAAGATGACTGCATTTCTCATCATGCACTAGGGTCATTATTATTTATCATCGGCTCTTTCCGC